TCAATTACCAAACAGCTTGTGGATTATTTTTCTGTTGAGTGATTCACAGTCTCATCTTTGCTGCCTTATTTGAAATACTGACATCCTACATACTGTTATCATTCTACGTAAATAACTACTGTACTACTAATTGATTTGATGTTTCATGGACTAAATGATCAATGGATTAATCGATGAAACAACAGTGAGTTGTAGCCCCAGTCTATAGAAAAAGCTGATGTTAATTACACAGAATTTAACATATAACATTGCAAATAAAGCTTTTTTGATAAAACAGGAGAGAGAGTTTGTCCACAGGTGGGAGCAGACTGCTTTCCATTTGGCTCATTTGAAAGGAAAACGTTTCTTCCTCCTCTCTCCCTGAGTTATTCTACTGTTCGCAGACAAAAGAATGAAGTTGTGTGTTTGCAGACACACACCACACCCCTCCTCTCATGGGAGTATTTTGCTCTTTTTTGCTTTGCCTTGCTAATCTCTCTCTTACTTTGAACAACAGCCTGACAGAAAGCATTATATGACCTTCCGATTAATCAAAAGGCAATTGCAGCCGGTTTATTTAAGCCTTGGAGCTGCAGGATATCCTGGTGTTGCTATGGCTGGATCAGCGTTTTGTGGTTAGAACTTTTGACCTTAAGATTACAGGACAGTGTCACCAATCGGTGCTACTCTCGGTGGGCACCCAGCACACACCACGTTCAGAAAAACAATTAATCTACCTGCCCCCAATACTTATGTTCAGCCTCTTTAACAATCTCGATAACATCTCTCCTTGCCGACAAGTTCATTCCTTCACTGTGATTCATCGCCCTTATCTCAGCTCTTCAGGATGCACCGAGCGTTTCAAACTGCTCAATACACAGGAGTAGAGATGGAGCACAAATCTCCATTTACACAGAATCTTATACTTCTCTATATTATGACACAGTGGGGACTTCTATTATTGTGCACAAATCTATAGGCTTTTCAATATTTAAAGCCTCAAAAAACTGGCTACCTTGGAAATAGGCAGTCAACACCCACATCTCTTCTCAAAATTCAGTGTGAACAAAAGTGACAGACACTTAAAAATCACTTCAATCCAACATAAAACAAAAACCATCTTATCTTGTTTGTGTCTTTTTTTTACAGCATGTATTAAAAAGTATTTTAGGAATAGAACAGCCATTTTCACTGCCCTTGACTGAATAGTTCTCTATTTTCTGACTGCTATTTTTGAGATTTACAGATCTATACTAGGGGCTGAGTTTACATGTCACAAACGTCAGTACACAATTACAAGTTAGAAAGAAACTGCTTGCCACTTTATGAATGCTACATATAAACACACATGGTGGGAAGTGGCTATATTTTGGCTTCTGCCTTGTCTCAAGCAGAAAATATCTTGCTGTGCCGAATTCTTGTGGCCTTGTCTTTGGTGAAAAGTGGATAATGCCAAAGATGACGCATGGTCTGGCAGACCTTATAAAACACAAACATTTCAACTGCACCCACAGTGGTGAGCCTGCATAAATTTACCAGGGTGAAATGTGTTGCTGAAGGCCTGAGCAGTGTGTGTGTGTGTATATATATATATA